GGACCAACCATAAGCAACCGTGAGCGCACTAATCAGGCTATAAGCGTGAATCGGACCGCGGCCCTAGATGTCGATGGATCACCCCCATTCCTAGGCGTCGAGCGGCATTTGGATTGCACGCGGGGCGGTGCGGTGAGGGGGATAGCGGGAGGCGGAGCCGACTCGAAAATCGGCCGAAATATGCATTTCGTGCCGAGCCCTGAACTAAAATGTTCTCTATGCCTCTTGATACACGCCGACCGCCCGAGAAAACATTTCGGTTACTTGACGCTTTATTCGGTGAAACTACGAGCTACGGCTATACATGGTGGAAATATATAAGATGAAACAATACGCATAATGGCGGTAGCAATACTGGAATAGCCAATCAAATATGTCCGAATATGCACTTTCCTACTGCGCATCTATCAGATTGCTTCACCTTATATATTTCCACTATGCTACGAGCTACGGCTATATGACACAACAGCGAGTCAGCGAGAAGGATTCTCTCTCTCAGATTCTCTTTCGCTGTCTCGTTCGCTCTCAGCGCGCCAAAGGCGAACAAGTAGAGAACGTAGTGCGACGAGGACAGAGCGAGTCGGCTGGCTTCTGCCATAGACATATAAGATAGACCCAGCATCTATAGTACATGTTGGGGTTTGGCAGAACGGTGCGAGAGGCAAGATATCGGGGCAACCTGTCCTTCTCTGCGCGTGCATCTTGACATTCTTGACATAATCAAAATGGCTGACTACGTTAGGATCGTCTGGATTCTTTGCCCATTGTGTTACTTTGCGTCACCCAGTATTCTGATGGGCAAGGAAAAAATATTCTGTTACGCTTAAATGAAGCATATGTTGTACGTATTGTATGCATATACATAAGTAAAGGTTAAAATGTTTTATTTACGTCTGAAAGAATATTTTTTCCTGTTTCAAATTTCTTTTGATACCCACATGCGTTGCACGTCTCCATATTCAATTTTTTTTACAAAAGAAACAATACTAACGGTTATTAATAATGGGTGCAAAGAATACAGACAATTCTAACGTAGGCAGCCATTTTGATTTTGTTAAGA